ACTACTACTACTACTACTAGTAGGCTAGTACAACTACTGATGCTAGTACAACTACTAATACTACTGCTGCTGCTGCTGCTGCTGCTACTACTACCACTACAACACTGCTCCTGCTGCTGCTACTACTACTGCTATACTACTCACCACCGCTATCTTCGCAACTGTTGTGCCCATGCGACAGTAGCAGCGATTCCTACGGTCTTATATCATGACTCGAGCGCAGCAGCGCTAGCTTGTAGTACGGCTGGAGGATAACATGAATGAGGGTGGGGGGAAATAATACTATTCCAAAATAGTCTTGCAATCACTTCGTCAAGCAATGCAGGCTGAATAGCCGCGTCTTCGAAGTTTACATAGCTAAGGCTGCTACGACAACATCCCTCGCGGTCAGATTATGATCTCGGTTTTGGCGGTACCGTATCGAACCCTGTGTGTCTAAGCCAGTCTATTCGTGAAGGGATTATGCTGTTAAAGTCGTCGAACTTGGCAGCCGCAACGGCCTCAACATACGTATTTTCCAAGACACATTCAACACTCTCAAGATCAAGGGAATCGGGCGCATGCTTCAGCATTGTTGAGACAACGTCCCATGCAAACTCAAGAGCGATCCCTCAAGACAAGACCCACATACTCCGAACCCCGAAACCCTAATATCCGCAAAACATCTGAACCCAAAAAGCTCCATGCCAAGTTTTGCAGCAGCCCATGCCTAAAGAACATGACGAACTCGTGGATGTCGATGGTCCCGTTCATGTTCTGGGGCAGTGCGGACCAGGCAGGAAACCTTTAAGTCTCGGTGATATGATATGTCAAACCGTCCATTACGGGGCAAGGAAACGGAGCATCAACAAACCCCCTACATTATCCTAAATCATCAGGCCCTGATCTTACAAGCCTGCCAGCAAGAAAATGGCAATATGAACACTGTGACGTGTCTGTAACATGTCTCAAAGCTGCCTGAAGCAGTAAAACCCCTTGCAGTTCTGCACCACCCCGGTCTGCGGACGAAATGATGTGACGGACAACACTGCCATAATGTACATAGCCGACATAGCCACAAACACCGCTGACCACATGCTCAGAAGATCCCTGAATTTGGGAGTGGCGCGGCCTTGTCAATCTCCTGCATGACAGTTGTGGCCGCTGCCTAGCAACATCGGAACATCCTCACTTCCATTGCTGCCTGTACGGCTTAGGACCTGAACCTTCGGGCGAAAACACATGGCACTGATTAGGGTTGGTGGATTCCAGAGAGGTGTGAGGTGTCGGTGGCACGGCCTGGAATGCGGTCGATCGCAACTAGTCCCAACTATTGTTAAGTTTTCGGGTGGGTGCCAGAAACTACTTACGCAATACAGCATTTTAGACGGTTTAGGTCCACTCAACCTGCCCAACAACCATATGCTCCTCAACTCTCATCCCAAGCTGTAAACCCTAAACAGAGACAGCCTGAAGTCTAGAGTCCCGGAACTCTTTCAGTAAACAGTCTCAGGTGGGCGAGGTGAAGATGGTTTCGGGACAAACGGTGTGAGAGTTTCGGACTGCAGGACTTAGGGATTTGAGGATTCATTGACAGGTGTGGGCACACAGGGACCATTGCCTAGCGTTCAGGGGTGAGTGCAGACATGCACATAAGTCTGCGTATTACAAAACTATGTCTTTGAGCATGAGTATGAGTGTATGCAAGTAGGTATGTGTTGTGCATGAAAGACTTTCTTTTCAACCGTGTCTAATGTGTCGCAATACCGCGCAGTTTAGTGCCCGATGCAGAGGCGAACTGAAAGGAAACACCCTGTCCACGGCTTTGCCAGGTGCTACACGTTTTGCGAAGCTCGACGCCGCCACTCAATATGGAGCTGCACGACGCTTCCTAAAACCTAAAACGCAAAGGCTTGCTGCCAGTGGCAAGATCCCTTCACGTCCCAGTCACCATGCTCCAATCTGTATAAAACAGCAACCCCCACCTCATTTCGTGCGACCCTAAACTCCAGCCTCTGATGCGTTGAGGCCGCAGAGCTTCAGCGCATCGACGAGCTCAACTGTACGGGGGTCAGGGCTTCTAAATCCTTAAGCCGCTGGTGCTCTAAAGGCGTGAACGCGCCCATGTTCTAATGTAAACCGCACTGCCAAGGTACTTGGATACAGAGCTTGGGCACATTTCGAGTCTTACGGCCTCGCCACCTATCAAACCTTGCTTATAATTAGCATTACAGCGCAAATTTCTAGCCATAGGAACATGCTGAAATCAAACGCGGGTGCGACACTCGGTAAGACCAGGAAATTCTGAGTCCATGTTCAAAAACGAAAACTAGATGTGGTGCAGGCCAGAAGAGGACAAAACACCCTAAACCCTTGCAACGACGAACTGGCTGTTGTGATCAGTACTCTTGCCATCACTGCTGTAGCTACACTCCTTGGAACTCCTATCGTAGTCGTTGGTCGTGCATTGCCAAACTCAAAACCTCCAGAGCATCGACAAGGCCTGGCATGGGGGTCAGAGTTTTACATCCTCAGGCAGAAGCTCATGCACCGTCGTGGTGCATCCGCTTCTGAGGCTCTTCCGATCCAAGACCTACATGCGGTCCGAAACGATTGAGCGAACCCAGAAACATAACCCGATCACCTGATGCTGAGACACCGCATATACTTCAAACGAAACTTCTGAATCCCGAGATCTAGCCCAAATCATGTGGAAACATGCCCCCCCCCCCCCCGAACTCCAAAGCTTCCCGACTGCGAGCCCCAGCCTAGGGTCACCGAGCCAGAGCCATCCTCGTCAATCTCCTGATACGCCGCCTTTTGATAGCCCGGGGTCAAGGACCCGGCTCTGCCGATATGTTTGACCAAAAACACATCGCCTTAATATCTATCACTACCTAGATATGGGGTCTTAGCACTTGCAACAGAGTATATAACCTTGTCGGGGGTTTTAAGGGGTGCTCCAGTACTACATACCAAGTTTTCATGCCTTTTCATTGTGGCATGATTCTTTATGGCCCGTACTTGCTAGCTGTGTGCAGGGTAGGGATGTGTCGGTCTGCCTGTTATTTGTCTTTCGCTAGATGGATTTAGGCATCTGCGGGGTGCAAAGGGATTTGCACGAACCGGGAATCTGGATCATCCATACGCCCGATACCCTGAAGGCTGTGAGGCATGAGGGGTTCAGGGTTTAGTTTAAAGGGCACCTAATCCGATAGGCGGACGCTTCGACCTCCGATCTAACGTGGACCCCAACCAAGGGTATGGTTTCGGCAGAGCAAAAAGCGCTGAAGCGACAGGACGCAGGAAATGCTTTCCAAGACGGTGCCAGCCAGAACATGAAGCAGAGGCAAAGACAGCAGAAGTAGACCAGACTGAGTAGACATGATATAATAAATGCGGGACTCAAGACACAGCACCGCTTCACCTGAAAACTGAAGGTAGTATGAACATCGCTGTAGAACTCTCAGTAAGCCTGCAAGAGGCTGGCAGAGACAGGTAACAGGTTGCAATATAAACAGTAAAGCGCCGACCCCTGGGAGAAAACTAAAACCCCAAAAACTCCCCCAAAACAGACCCGCCTGGAGGAGTTCCATAGGAAGCTCGGCGTCCTCGTTGCCCTCATTTTCCTGGAGCTCCGGAGAACTACGTGTAAGTGCAGAGCACGCGCCGAAAAAAAGAGGATTCCTTCAAGGGAAAGTTCGGCGGTTAGTTATCACGGGGCAGTATAAAGGATGTTAGAAGTGTACTATGAGCATCTTTGCTCAAGCAGAGCACATGTAACGCTTAGAGTTTGTCTGCTGAGGAGTCATGAACCCGAATCCTGTCGCGAGCAACTGCGATCAAAATGCAGCTGCCCTAAACTCTGCAGGCCCTACGTACTGCAGGTTGCCCACAAGCCCGAAATCAAGGCAATTAAAACGTCCTGCGTCCAAAAGATCACCTTCTGCAGCATGACCTGAACTGCGAAGAGGGTGGTCTAGGGTTGGGCTTTGGGTTCGGAGTTGATTGCTTGGTCGCAAAAGCTCTGGCAAGATCTTCCGCAAGGCTCCGACTGGGACGGACCCAGCTACAAGACCAGGGTCACAGGAACTTTACAATATAAGGATGTCTGCATGAACGTCTTGAGTATATGCTGTTTGGGGTAGGGGTGGACCAGGGCGATTTGGAAGACTTAGATCAATGTATTAGATCAATGTTTGCACGACAGGCTGTCCCGTCAATGTTTAGAACATTTTTGTCGACTGGAGCGCCTGGTGGTGCGACTATATTGAACCCTACTGTCGCTACAACCATTACAACCGACGGGAGCATAAATGACTCGTGCTGCTACAGCTACATTTACCTAGTATGCCGTTGTCAGAACACCACCAT